TTGTTAGTTTCTTTTCTTTCTGTCTCTAATTCATTATATAGTGAATACTCCTATATATCATTTAGAAGAGCAGAACTGGGGTACTTTTGTTCCAGGCTTATTTTCCTGCATTTTCTTTGACTCCATTCCTGGCCATATTCAACACACTCCATCATGGACAAGTACAGTTGATGCTAGTTTCTTTTGGCCAATTAGGACCAGATATCCACAGAAATGTTCTAAAGCCGACTGCAGAATGTGGAGAATGCTAAATAGAGGGTGTGCTCCACGGCTCTGCGATTGCACCATATGAAAGCGGCTGCGCTTTGGGAGGAAAAGCCCTGCTTTTGTTTAGTTTTCATATAGTCTCTAATAAAGAGGATGAAAAGTTAAATATACTGTTTACTACACTGGAGGAATCACATTTTCTCAAGCCCCTAAAACAGTGATTAACTTTACAAGAAAAAGACCTCAATGTGAAAAACTGTGAAGGAGCCAAAAAACACTTCCAGAGTTCCAGAAGACGACTGCAGTGTTCGCTTGTGTATTGTGTAAACATTTAGTTGCCAGTGACATTTGCATTATAAAGAAGTTGACGTTGTTTTGTTTAAAATAAATGGAAATATCAGGTTATTATTATTGTGTTAACATCATAAGAACATCTGCAACTCTTTGTCCCACAAAGATAAAATAATTTTTTGTGCACTTGTGCTACGTTTAGAAACATCATGTAAGTGCCACACAGCAAAACCACTATTGAATGATGGACAAGTTGTCAATTATAGAAAGATTTGTAGCTCCAGTGTTTGGGCCACCCAGTCTTGGAAGGTTAATTAGACTGCCTAACTGAAGAAAGCACTGACTGCCGAATAAACTGGGGGGTTTGGAATCTCCCAAACTGCATTAGAACTCTGAGTGGAAGGTGCTGACATCTTTAAATATTTAAGGACTTGATAAATTGTAAAATTAATCCACCAGAACTGCCTGTCTCACAAAGATACAATACATATCCAATTCAGTGGCAGAATTAGATGGCCATGTGGACATTATCTGCAATGCACACATTAAGTTTGTGTGTTTTTCAAGTCTGGATAAGAAGAAATTTAGGAGGTGCACCTGTCTGCTCAGTCTGTTTCACCTCTTTCCCTGATTTTGTTTCCCTGTGTGTCCTGGAAAGCGAATGTCCTGCCGCCTGTTTCAGCTGCGTCATAGGAGCTGTTACATTACTGTATTATCTTAAGTGTGTTAAGTGTTTTAGATGAGCCCTGGAAGGGGTGAGACACACTTGTGTCAACTTCAGCAGCAGAACTTGCCAAGAAATCATTGCAACCTTGCATTTCTCTTTCCAAACCCATAATGGCAGACAAATCAGTTTAGAAACCATAGCAATTAACGACTTTAAAATGCTTAATATTTCAAAACCATAACATTTGATTTGCTGCACTTTAGGTTGCAAACTGCTCTTAACTGTTAAACATGCTGATACACCATCACTTTACTCTTCTAGCATTGTATTTTGCATGCAAAGGGTACATTGCTGACAAGAACAAAAATAGTTATTATCCAGTCAATTCAATTGCTCATGTCTTATGTTCCAGCTTCTCAAAAATTTTGCATTGCAGTTACCTTACTGGGGTTAACTTGCTAAGAACGAGTGCGTTCCATTTGAATAATCCGCTCCTCAATGTCCCCTACCTCTCCTTCACCGTGAGTGGCAACTGTTTAATGTAGGTGTGTGTGTGTGTGTGTGTGTGTGTGTGTGTGTGTGTGTGTGTGTGTGTTTTCTCCCCCCATCATTTCTTTTTGATTGTTGGTTAGCCTTTATTAGAGTTGTTTGTGTGTGACAGTGTGGAAGTTTTGGGGAACTGTGAGGTTGAAGGGTAGCATGACACCACACCGACACCACAACATATGGATCTCTGCTTTAGTTTTATATGTGCTTGCTTTGACTGAATGTAGCACTCCTCTGGTCAGCTTTCAGGAGTCAAATAGCTGATCACTGGTGTTTTGTGTGGAGCATGTAGGAAGTCCAGTGTGACCTGTTGTCCTCTCACATAGTTGGCCCACCACTGACCACATTAAACCCATAGATGTGTAGTGCAGAGAGAGAGAGAGTGTGTGAGTGTGTGTGTGTGGTGTTCAAAGTGAATGGAACGGTGTGCGTGCGTGCGTGCATGAGAGACAGAATAGTACGTACTCCTGCTGTGTTGAAAGACGGCATGGTCAGGTGTGTGTGCTTGTGCTTGTGTGTGTGTGTGCGTGTGCGTGTGTGTGTGTGTGTGTGTCTACACTAGTTAGCCATCCTGACATCAAACATTTTGTTATTCTCCATGACATTTATTTTTCATGACGTTAGTAATTGCAACATGAAACTATAATATTACTGAACATAATTTAACATCTCATCTCACCATATGACATCTGTCATGATCTGTTTATGGCATGATTATGATTATGTGAATGTGATGTAGCAGAGTTTAAATAAAGTATTACTAAAATTAGTTTGTTTGAATCTAGTAAACTGTATGCACTCGTCAATTGCAGTTGTAATTTTGCCAACAGTCAGGTGATATTAACCCTAAACTAAAGGTGTAGTTATTTCAATACAGTATTGAAAAATATTCGAAACAATGTAAAATTGACAATTTACATTACTCGCTCTACTGAGGTTCTTTCATTTATGTTTTGTTGAAACCCTCATCATTGATCACAATTAGGTGTGTGGATGCCTCCTATCAGAATAAGGTGGGTAGGGAGGGGGAGAGGCTTATGTTGTACACACACTCACACTGAAATGACTGTGTGTGTGTGTGTGTGTGTGTGTGTGTGTGTGTGTGTGTGTGTGTGTGTGTGTGTACCAGCTGAAGGTGAGCAAAAATTCAGTTTTGCAATTAATGAGTGTGCACAGTTTACTAGATTCAAACAGAAACAAATTTCAATAATTATTTATTTGAACCCTGCTAAGTGTTAGCCATGGAGTGTTAAGATGTCTGTTTGATAAATGACTTAAGATATGTGCATCGTTATGACCCCAGTGAACATGCCTGTTAGCTTTGTGCTTGGTGCAAATATTAACATTGACATTAACATAGGAAAATGTGCTTGTATTTATATGTGGCTGATGCCAGTCTTAAGGGACTAAAATTCCAATAACCATTAACATCAGCTGATCAGTTTTAGTTAAACAGTGCTTTACTGACAGATATGGCTCTGTTCTCAATCCTCATGCCTCTTAAAACTCAAATGAAGAGCAGAAACTCACAGCCTTAAATAATATAAATATTGTAGCACATTGTTGGGGCTGACCTACTCATAATACTTTGCAGATTGATTTCTCCTAATTACTTCTTATCTTTCATCAGTTCTTTTCATAAAAAAACTTCTGTAATATATTGTCCTCATATTGAAGGATAAGCCTGGATACATTTTAGCTTTTATTATTCTAAACAAGATGATTTCTCTTTAGGTTTGCCAGTTCAGCTAGTATTTCTGTGATATTGTTAAACGGTGAGTCAGTTTAGCTGGAAACAGTTGAGTGGGAAAAACAGTTGAGCAGGAAAAATCACCAGCTTGTTCTAGAATCTGGTTCTGCAGGACCCCTGATCTAAGGTTTCACCCCATCATTGGGAGATACCGAGTTTGAATTCTGCCGATGCTGTGACCCAAAGTGTCGCTGATAATCAGTGGGTTATCAGCAGTATTTTTGCCAATACTGATAAAACTGCAGCATGAATGTGTCTGAGCACAAAGCTGCTCTGATCAATTTAAAGCAATGCTCTAGAATGTGTTGGAAAATTACACCAACTTTTAGTAATTATTATTTTAGGTTTTTGTGTTGGGTTTTTTTTTTGGTTTTTTTTTGCTGTTCCCCCACACTTTATATTTCTTTGCAAGAGTGCCTTTCTGGTTGCACACATGAAGTGAACCTCTAATGTTTTAAGAAACTGAATAAGAACTTAAACTATATTCCTTGTGGAATATGCACCGAACAGGCGTAACATTATGAGCACCTTGTTTCTACGCTCATTGTCCATTTTATCAGCTCCACTTACTATATAGGTGCACTTGGTAGTTCTACAATTACAGACTGTAGTCCATCTGTTTCTCTGCATACTTTGTTAGCCCCCTTTTACCCTGTTCTTCAGTGGTCAGGACCCCCCATGGACCCTCACAGAGCAGGTACTGCAGTAACACTGACGTGGTGGTGGTGTGTTAGTGTGCGTTGTGCTGGTACAAGTGGATTAGACACAGCAGTGCTGCTAGAGTTTTTAATCACTGTCCACTCTATTAGACACTCCTACCTTGTCAGTCCACCTTGTAGATGTAAAGTCAGAGATGATAGCTCATCTGCTGCTGCACAGTTTTTGTTGGTCTTCCTCTAGTCCTTTATCAATGGTCACAGGATGCTGCCTACAGGACGCTGTTGGCTGGATATTTTTGGTTGGTGGACTATTCTCAGTCCAGCAGTGACACTGAGGTGTTAAACTCCTCCAACAGCACTGCTGTGTCTGATCCACTCAGAACAGCGCAACACACACTAACCCACCCTCACCACATCAGTGTCACTGCAGTGCTGAGAATGATCCACCACCCAAATAGTACCTGCTCTGTGAGGAGTCCTGCTCTGTCCTGACCACTGAAGAACAGGGTAAAAGGGGGCTAACAAAGTATGCAGAGAAACAGATGGACTACAGTCTGTAATTGTAGAACTACAAAGTGCACCTATATAGTAAGTGGAGCTGAAAAAATGGACAATGAGCATAGAAACGAGGAGGTGCTCATAATGTTATGCCTGATTGGTGTACAATAACAATACAATTGTCTTTCTGATTACATTTGAAAAGAGCATGAAATTTTTATTTTAACAAAAAATTATCACATACTCCATCTCATTAATTAGCACACGTTCCTCACATTAGCTTGTTTAGCCTACACCTCTTTCAGATCAAGACATCAGTGAATCATTACTGCTGTGTGGGTGCTGTTCTTTCCTTAACAAATCTGTTCTGTTCTGTTTTCAGGCTCGCATCAAATTCCCTATTGATTACCCTTATTCACCTCCATCCTTCAGATTCCTCACCAAGATGTGGCACCCCAACATCTATGAAGTACGTATGCCTACTGTTGGGAAATTAACATACCATCTGCTAACATCAGTTTGGTTTCTTCAGTTTTTTTCTTCTGCTATAATGGATGTTGTGAGGGTTAATGTGGTGAGTGTATAATGGAGCCAGTGGTTGTCTGTATGTACTTTTAGAATGGAGATGTGTGTATTTCCATCCTGCACCCTCCAGTAGATGACCCTCAGAGTGGAGAGCTGCCCTCAGAGAGGTGGAACCCCACGCAAAATGTCAGGTAAAGCACATGTGCCCAGGCACAAACACACGACCCTCCTAAACCCTCCTGTCGTGCCCCTCAGTTAATGCTTACCTTTGCATGTACATTAGTTGCTATTAACGTTTTCTTTTGAGTTTCAATTTTGATTTTAAATTATACTAATGGTACCTTATTTAATATATATTTAACTTTTTACTCCTCTTTTCATTTAATTATATTGATGTTTAATTGGGCAAATACAGTGCATATTAATAATTCTGCTTGTTTACAATTTGTGTGACTGTGTCACAAGCCCAACTTTTCTATGGCCATTTTTTATATACAGAGTGTCTTAATATTGTCATAAGAAAAGCACTGTTGAATGTATGCTTTGTCATCAAATACTATAAGGTGATAAAGCATAAATGATGCACACTGGCCTCTCTCTGGCAGGACCATCTTGCTGAGTGTGATCTCTCTGCTGAACGAGCCCAACACATTTTCCCCAGCCAATGTCGACGCCTCAGTCATGTACCGCAAGTGGAGGGACAGCAAAGGCAGAGACCGGGAGTATGCTGACATAATCAGGTTAGGCAGAAATTATTTGAATTTTTTGGTTCAAAAACTTCTGACACAATACCAGACATAATTTTCATGTCTCTTTGCGGTTTATAAAATCAAAATGTATATCAAAATATATATTAAACATATTTTGTTGTGTTTTGAAGTGAAAAGAAATAAACACACACAAAAAAGACTTTCTATTTGATTTAAAAGGTAATTGTGGCATGTGAAAAAGTTTGGACACCCTTCTAAGTCAGTACTTGTTAACATGCCCTTTAGTAGTTATCACAAAACTGCTTCACAATGCTTAACAGTTTCAAGGTGTCATTTTCATCAAATGCTGGTCCTTTTTTGTCTTTGCTTTAATGTCTGTGGTTCCCTCTTCTTAATGACATTTCGGAAAGTGACACAATGTCAGTACATTATAATTAATTAACATTTACAGAATGTTTTTTTTTTTTTTAAAGTTTGTTGCAGAGTTGCCAGGGTGTGCAAACTTATGCATACAACTACATTTACTGTTCGACCTCTAAGATTGCTAAGACCTGAAATTGTTTACATGTTTTGTGAGTGAGTGAGGTAAAAAAAATGCTTTATATCTTGGACCTGTAATCTGTAGCTTTGTTTTAGCCAGAAAGCAGTTCAGTTTGTTACTTACTCCAGTGTAATTCTCTCATTCTCTTCTGCGTCTCTTGTAGGAAGCAGGTTTTAGCCACTAAAGCAGATGCAGAGCGTGACGGGGTGAAAGTTCCCACCACGCTGGCTGAATACTGTGTGCGCACCCGTGCTGCACCACCTGATGAGGGTTCCACACTCTTCTATGATGAATATTACGATGATGATGAGCAACTGGACGAGGACAGTGATGAGGAAGAGGACTGTTGTTATGATGATGATGACTCTGGCACCGAGGACTCATGACATCACTGAACTGAACTCTTCATTCCCTTGCTTTTAACCCTGTCTAAAAAGTAGGCTCTTAGTTGATTTTGTTTTGCTTTTCCTCTTATAGTTTTACTTTGATTTTCCTCTTTTGGTTTTGAGCGCTTTTTGCATAAGAACTATGACTCAGCAGTCACCATAGAGGACTAGTTTGTATTTTTGTTGACGCATGATTCCGTGATGGGGAGCGGAGTAGGAGTGGCTGATTTTGTGCTAAAAGGTCACTGATCCAGCTGAGCCATTCTTGTTCTCTTAGCCCTCTTTCAGTTCATACCCAACTTGGTTAAGATTGCCCTTTTTTACTTTAACCAGTGGAAGCTGCTCACCACAGGTATAAATAGGATTCAGTAGAAAACAGCTTGGTCTTGTGTGTATGATTGGTGCATTCAAGGCTGAGGATTCATTAACAGTCTCAGTGGTGCTGCAGACATGTAGATATTATACAGTACTTCAGACTCAGGGCTATTTCTCTTTCTAATGACATTAGTAATTATTTCAACCAGCCAGTGAATTTGATCTTGGAGTTTTGATGTACAGTACTGTGCAAAAGTCAGAGACCACCCTTCATTTATTAATTTCTAGTCAAAACAGCCATTAAATACAAGTTATTAATTTTTCACTGTCAAGGGAAAAAAAAGCAGAAAACACACATTTTACTGAAAATTTCACAGATGCTTCAACAACTAGGTACAGTGTATACATTTTCAGTATTTAGTGTGTACACCCTGCCTTTATTGCAGCTTCTGTTTTTTTTTTTTTTAGGCTTGCTTTTCAGTTTTTCAAAGATATCTCCTCAAAAATATCACCAGAAAAATTAACGATTTTATTTCCACTGAAATTGGCCATTAAGCAAATGAACGGTGGTCTCTGACTTTTGAAAAGGATTGTGTGTGTGAATGCATGTGTGCAAGTGAACACACTCTAAATCCCAAGAGTGAGCTTTTTCAAACAAAGTAATTGGTACACATATTTAAGATAAACACACTCCCTATTATTTCAGCGTCTCAAAGTACATTCCGAGGTTGCTAGGTTAAGGAAATTGATTGCCCTGATTCATTTAGGTTACCAGCACCATAATTTGTTTGCAGATCATATGGGGTCTCTCATGCTTGGTTTTAATGTTCAAATAGTCACACTCCTCCCATAGTACCACCACATTTGTATACAAGCAAATGCCATTTTGAGCTTACTTTTGAGGTAGTGCTTGATGGACAAGTTTATTTTAAACTTTTGATCTTGGTGAACCTAAAGGAGATGTCATGTAGTCCTCTGATGTACTCCCTTGTAAAAGCTATTATTTTTCCCTTGGTTTGCAGCAGGAGCCGATATTTGGAAGCTAAAAACCTCTTCTGGAAAACCGACAAGCCACAATGATCAGACATCAGGCCTCAATGCTGTTTACAAACCTCAACATTTATAATGCTGTTGTCCAAAGAAAACATTAAAAGTGCTTTCCCCGTAGTGTTATCCCTAATCTTAGTTTCGCTGTGTGGTTACAGCTGATCACACTGTCGCTGTCAGTCTGGAAGGATGAGGGCTAACACAAGCTGTAAAACCAGTCTCCATATCTGTTCAATCAGCCACGTACTTGGTGTCTCAAGATCTCAAGACTGTCATGGCTAGACCAAAATATGCAAACAAATTGTGCATTCATTTTTCTGAAAAGATGCTGTTTTTGAGATACAAGAGTGACTTAATTCATATACATAGTATGCATTATTGTTCTCATTTACTCCTTTGTTTTTTTGTTTTTTTTTTCTTTTTTTCGTATGGTTTGTAAATCTATTTAAAACCTGAATAAAGATCTTTATCACAGCTGCTTTACATTTCTGATGTGGTGAATGCAATAGTCCTAATGGAAATTGTTCCAATTTACTGCTTTAAAAATACTAAGTACTAACTTCTTTACATGTGATAACATGTATCACTTGTGATATTTGAACTGCTCTGTTCTGTCATGGAGTGCTCCTTCACTTCCAGATGCTCATGCATCACATTCCCACAGTTTGCACAATATACACAATATTATTTTGCCTATTAAAAAAAAAAATTAAAATGGCTGAAATGCTGTTTCAGTATCTGTTGACCTTTTAGTGTGGGTGTGCTGAAATATGTATGCTCCCACCGTATGAAAAAGTGTTTTGTGCTGGTCACTCCAGATAGCTGGTGATTCTTGAATTGGGCCACTTTGCCACTAGAGGGCAGTATTTACTGTCTTATGTTCTGGCAATGGGACTCTCTTATTCCCAGTATGAGATGGTCATTGAAGCCTACTTAATGTAAAGGCATTTTTAGACATTGAGGCTCCATAACTCTCAAAAATGTGCCTTAACACCTTTACCTACCTGGTAGACATGAGTCAATATGGGTGCACGATGTCACGGATCCATGATCCATTGCGAAAATGCAGGCTGATGTACTGTTGTTGTACATTAATTGAGGGAAAGGCTACCAGGAAGCCTGGATTGTATGTATGCTGTCAGGACTTTGCTAATGAGACACAACCATATAGATCATGTAACATCAGTCCACTCAGGTTTTATGATAGAAGGTTGTTAGATGGTTTATTGGCTTGCACATCAATAGGAGAGCAACATTTAATGCAGTATCACTCATGCTGAAGTCAAACAAGATGTCAAACATTATGATAAAAACATGCATTAATTCCATATCTAGTTCAGTCCTGAATTCTGATTGGCTTACAGAATCCAGCAATATGACTGGATAGTTGAGTTGTACAACCTGCTCGGCTAGTTCAATTATCAATTATCAGGTCTGTAATCTGGTCAACTACTACTTCGATGAGCTGAAGGTTCATACACAGACTCTGGTTTAGTTTTAATTCAGGGGTGGAGTTGACTCCAAATCTATCTCCTTCCATCACACTTTGTTTGGCTCAGGGGTGGAGTCAGACCTGATCCAGCTCCTCCCACATCAATGCAAGTTGCTTGTACACAGTTAAATCTTAAAATGATTACTTCATGTGGTATCAAGCAGTTTTGTTTTATTCAACTCATGTAAATATGTGCAATAAAACAATGCAAAGTAGAATGTTAGTTTAGATGAACAATAGCAATATTTTACATTGATTCAAACTTCAAGTAAACTTCTGCCCTGTTCCACTTTTTACAATGTATTTTCCAGCTGTCAGTATAATACTTTATATTAATTAAAACCTGATTTTAAAGTCTAATTTTTTTCTGGTATAGAATTATTTAGCTACATATTACATTATTAACTCAGGATCAATAATGCTATTATTTTGTAGATGTTTTCATTACAGTAGCAAGAAGTCTATCATTGTACTGTTCATTTGTCATTTTACATCTCAAAAAACAAAGATACTAGGAATAATTGTTCACTGAACCAAGAATCACTTTCTGCAAACTATTCTTCTTCAGCTTTCAGCTTATTCGTCTTTAGCCTTGGCTGGTGTTGTAAGGCAGTGGTATTGACCAGCATACGATCCAACAACTACTAATACTAATAAACTAAATAGGGCAACTAATATTGGGAGCGTGGGTGGACTCAAAACATGTACCTCACTAGACAGTGGAGGGTGTTTGATGGAGGGCTCCAGGGAGCTGCACAAGGCCCCCAGAAAACAACAGTGTCTGTAGTGCAGGGAGGCTGCCTGAGAACCTTGATGAATGATGTTGGTCCGAAGACTCTCAAAAGCTTAGAAGATGCCATTACTTAGCCACAGAGGACGGCACTGACCCAGAAATACGCAGAACTGTGGCTGAGCTTCCTGTAACTAGCTTTCATGTTCTTGTTTTGATAAAACATGATTAGTCCAGCTGATGATGTTTTGCGGAAGGCCTAATTCCGATGCGATCTTGGGGACAAACTCCTCAACCTTCAGCCAGTCACTTGGAACCAGGGGGTGTGCAGTTCAGACGGTTTGTTGGGGGGTGACTTCAAGCTACGTGACAGGGTAAATGTGAGCCAGTTTCCAAGGAAACCAACTGGGGGAAATAAAGTGCAATAATAAACCCAACTGTGAAATGAGTGTTTGACATTTTTATTCAGGCTCCTAAAGCTTATGACCCAATTTAAACTTGCTTCCATGTAGCATAAATTTACTCGCCGGAACACCAAGTTCTTAGGTCTTTAGCCGGCTCGCTGTGTCTCAGCATAATTTCATCAGGTCAAGCTTATTTCTCCACTTATTCCTGATCCGGTCTTTGTTGTCATGTTTTAGCTTTTGTGCGGAGAGCTTGAAATAGATGTGCCATGCATGACTCTAAAAGGACTCTTGACATTTTGCTATTAGAACATCCATTTGATGAGCCTGTTCCTTCTTGGAACAGATGCTTAATTCGTCTCCACTGTGGCGATGTGTGTAATGGCCTTCTTACTGTATCTCTCTCTGAGTATTCTAAGCCAGGCTGCACCCAAAGTAGCCACCATTAAATCATTTTGTGTGACTCACAGCTCTAACAAAAGCTTTAAGGACTAGACCCCAAACAGGCTGTTTTGAGAATGAGGCCAGTGATTTGTTTCTCTGGACTTTTGACTTTTCTACAGTCTCTGATTCATATCTTCTCCAGGACTGTCTCAGATCATGCTAATTCAGGCCTTACGGAGAGGTCGCAGACCACACATCATTATGCTCATTCTTACAGCAGTCATTGATGGGAACTGTGAGCTCTGAGTTCTGAGTTCAGTAAGATCACTCATATCTCACTGAACTTGAAATCCATACTGGCTGAGTTTTAACAGAGTGAGAACTATTTTTGCAGCATTTTCTCAGTCTACAATTAAATCATCCTCTTTTCTGGCCTCTGGCCATCACTAGCTGTGCATCAATAGCTTACTTTGTTTCTGTGGTGATATCAAAACAGACAGTGTGGGTGGATTTCTTGAGTGGCCAGATGACATAAGAGATTAAATGTGGGTCATTTGTATCACTCATTCATTTTTTTGAGCTTCATTCATTAAGCCATTCATATTGTACAGTAAATACCACCTGTACACCAATAGGCTATTTACACTGCATAGAATACAGTTGTATAGTTTTAAAAAGCACCCATGGTTAAATTACATGTTTTGTCCATTTTCTAAGTCAAAATAAGTTAACACATCTACAGAGAACAATATGGCATTTTACTGCAAATTCTAGGGGGATTTCTTTATTTGCTGAATTTAACACACTGGAAAAAATAAAACATAGAACATAAAATGTGCCAAACCCTTTGCACAGACCATATTTTATGTTTTATTTTTTCCCAATATGTTAAGTTCATCAACCAAACAGAACTCTGCATTAAATATGTTCACTTAGAAAATATAACTTGAGCAAGGGTGCCCGAACTTTTGCATAGGACTGTACATATCTACTTACAGTATGTGGTGCATAAGACTATATCTGTCTACTGACAGCATGTGGTGCATAAGACTGTGCCTATCTACTTACAGTATGTGGTGCATCAGACAGTACTTATCTACTTACAGCGTGTGGTGCATCAGACTGTTCTTATCTACTTACAGCGTGTGGTGCATCAGACTGTTCTTATCTACTTACAGCGTGTGGTGCATCAGACTGTACCTGTCTACTTACAGTATGTGGGGCATCAGACTGTACTTATCTACCTACAGTATGTGGTGCATAAGACTGTGCCTATTTACTTACAGTATGTGGGGCATCAGACTGTACATATCTACTTACAGCATGTTGTGCATAAGACTGTACTTATCTACTTACAGTATGTGGTGCATTAGACTGTACCTGTCTTCTTACAGTATGTGGTGCATAAGATTGTACTTATCTACTTACAGTATGTGGTGGATAAGACTGTACCTATCTACTTACAGTATGTGGTTGTTATAACTTATTTACACAATGAATCTGTGAATAAAAAGTTCCAAAAATGGAACTGTTTTGAATGTATATGGGAGGATATTGAGTTTTCTTTTTGTTTAATTTGGAAGGCATAGCACTGTGTTAAAACTAACTCCGTCGTGTGGAGGCTGTACTCACCAAGTGGGTTGTATGCTTCAAAACAGTTCTAAATTACAGCCACCAACAGAGTGCTGACAATAATATATATGAAATCTGTGACTTATACAAACAACTCAACAATTACCATGAAAAAAGTTGCTGTCATGGTACAAAAAGGGTCTTCATGGTGAATACTGAGGAATATTATTCAGCTGATGAAATTCACAGACCACAGTGCTGTTGTAATATGAAAAAGTGATTTGATAGGTTTCATAGGTTGTGCTACATGATATTTTGTCTTTCTTGATTACTTGATGACTGGGGGACCCTTAGCCAGCCAGGTAAGCTGTCCTAGAGTAAGGTCCTGCTCCAAATTACACTATATTTCCATACTTACTCTAAGGCCGACTTGTTATGTCTATAGTCTTTAACGTCTCTGTTGTAGCCTGTAAGGCCTTAGTAGATGGAAAGCCATATGACAGGTATTTGATTGCGCCCTTGCCACACCAATACTGAAATCCCTCTCACTCTCTTGGGCCTTTTCTATTTTTTGCCACCTGTAAAAGTCTATTTGTTGCCATAGATATGGCCTGGTCTCCAGGGTAACCGATGGCCTGAGAAGAGCAGATTGACAAGTGATTGGACGTTCAAATTCAAGTACATTTTGTTTCACTGTACTTTTTTTTGATTTTTCCTTCAGTATTTCCAAATAACAAAATGCTTACATAGAAAGAATGAAAATATATGTACATACATTTGCTTATAGTAAAATATATGTGCAACATATGTGCTGTTTTACAGTATGTGCGGCAAATACATTTAAATGTACCATTTAAACTTTTAAATATATATGCCGTAGTATCATGTATGAATAGTATCAACAGTTTTTCATGATGAAGAGACCAATAGAAATGGTCAGAAACTTAGAAACAAAATATTTTTGATTAAATAAATGTAGCAGTGTCAGTTTGTATTATTTACCTATGTCAAAATATATGTAAATATATCACAGATTTGGCACATTGTGAAAAAGATATGTAAATATATTTCTTTTGCACATGGAAGATTGACAGATAAACAGACAGAAAGACAGACAGACAGACAGATAGATAGATAGATACCTACATACATACATACATACATACATACATAAGGTATATGCAAATTACATATAGCCTAAATGTTCTTACTATGGTTGAGTTCTTGAGATAAATCCTAGACGAGTCGAACACAAGCAGGAGTCTGTTGCTGAAGAGATTTTCTTTTAAAGCTGTATATATATTAGAAGCCTGTTCTACAAACTTAAACATCTTTTACTTATTCAGATATTTGTGTTTTTAGAGATTTCATTCAGCAGTTTGCTAGCTTAGCTACACTTCCTTTCCAACCATCTCAAACAATGAAGTCGGGCTGTGATTGGTCTGCGCAGCAGCTCCTCTGATTGGTAGGCGCAGTAGCTCAGCGCAGCGGGTCCTTTGATTGGTGAGCGCGGCAGGTGGAAGAATATAAGAAGGGAGCAGCCTGTTGAGCTGCGAACTCCTCACTGGAGGCTGAGAGACGGAGTTCATGGACACTCATAACACAAAATGAGCCACTGAGAAGACATTAAGCTGCTTGAGGAGTGAAACCAGAAGAACCTCTCACTGTAAGTAGCCAGCTTTAATGCAACAGGTGACATTACTGCACTGTTTCTCTTTATAAGTACATGCTTTCCATCTGTTGACGCATTTTAAAAATATTTTTTTTTCATGTAAAAGTCGAGTTTTGACAGTTTTTGAAGGTTAGTTTAATTCCTCTCTTCCCCGCTTTTACAGTGTTTTGTCGCATTTGGAGCGGATAATTACATACGACTGATCATTATTAAGAAAGCGTGATTTAAAATAAAAGTTTGCATACGAGATTTCATTCACACTGAAAACAGTTTTAAGCTTAATTATAATAATTATGCTATTAGTTTCGTCAGTGTCCTGTCAACTAACTCTCCATCTGCTCTAACGAACCTGTAGTTGGCTTCTTTTTTGCCCGCCTCTAGTTCGAATTTTCTGTTCCACCTTAAATGGCGCAGCGGTTACGCTCTGATGCTTCAGGCGCCAGAACGGAACTGCTGCACCATTTAAGGTGGAACGGAAAATTGGAGTAAGAAGCTGGAAAATAGGAAAGCCGTCGTTCTGCTCTGCCTCTCAAATTGGACTGTGTGATTAAAGTACAAGTCAGATTTCACATTTGGAAAGAAGTCACCAGCGGTAATTCTCTAAAGTACTCCAAAGAGGGTAGGGAAGTGCTTTTTGAGATGCTCTGCTACTTCCCAAACTGCCTGTTGCTCCATTTACTCCGGGCTGCTTCCCACAAAATGTAATCTATACACAGTTTTCATACAAATACGCTTATTCACGCTTATTGCCTTAACATAAGAGGCACAACACAACAGGCAACAAGCTTTTATTGTGGTGTACATGCGCAGATGTGTTTAAAAAGCCATTCAAAATATACTTTACGTCTTTGGTTCTAGTAAACAGCCCATAAGTTCTTGTAAAGGCTGACGAATACTGTTGATTATCTCTAGGCTGAAAACAATGATTCATCTTTGCAGCGTCACTAATTGCAAATCATTATTGAAAACCAGCTTGAAAACAACAGTGAGGTAAAGTGGTGTCAAATGGCTGCAGGTGATGCTATTATAACACATATAACTTTTGATTCACGTTTGTAATAACATTTAATTTCGTTTCCACTAACACGGCAATGACATTGCAAGTTGATTTACATTCTGACCTTAAAAAAACATTTGATTCAGCTGTTCTACACAAAGATACGCTTTATTTCACCAGTACAATTTTATTTCTGAGGTGTAACAGTAAGGGAGGCACTGGAATTGTGGGCTTATGCTGATATCCTGTATTTTTCATATGTCTGTCAATACTGAGACATAAACATTTATAAAATGGAGAAATTAGAGTTACAAATTCAGCAATATAAAAATATTCATTCATTTTTATCAGTCAAATAAATGTTTTTCAAGAAATCATCTGGCAAAACTGATTCTGATATGATTGTGCATCCCTACACACTTAAAAAGATGGTTCTTTAAGCGTTCTTTAGTAAAGAAAATGGTTCTACATAGAACCATGAACACTCACAGAGCCCTTTGCATGATGAAAGGGTTTTTCAGACTGGTGAAGAATGTGCTGTGAATGGTTCTACATAGAACCGTTTTGAAAAGGGTTCTATATATCACCAAAAAGGGTTCTTCTGTTGTTACAACACTCTTAAAAATGATAGTTCTTCAGGAGTTCTTTGTTAAAAAAATGGTTTTATATAAATCCATGAACACTCAAAGAACCCTGTGCATGATTAAAAAGTTCTTTGCATCATGAAAGAGTTCTTCAGATTGATGGAGAATGTTTTGTAGATGGTTCTTTTGAGAAGCTTTATGAAAAGGGTTCTATATAACACCAAAAAGTGTTCTTCTATTGTTACAGCTTGACATCATCACAATAGAAGAACCCTTTTGGCGCTATATAGAAAACTTTTTAAAAAGGTTCTATATAGAACCAAATAAAACACACTCTCAATCTGAAAAACCCTTTCATGATGCAAAGAACCCTTTAATCTTGAGTGTTCATGGTTCTGTATAAAACCATTTTCTTTATCAAAAGAACTTTTCTTTATCAAAGAACTTCTGAAGAACCTTTTTTTTTTCAAGTGTGAAGGCTGACAATATAACAATAAAAGAACCCTTTCAGGTGCTATATAGAACTCTTTTCAAAATGGTGCTGTATAGAACCATCTACATTCTCTATCCGTCTGAAAAACCTTTTCGTGATGCAGAGAACCCTTTAATCATGCAAAGGGTTCTGTGAGTGTTCATGGTTCCATATAGATCCATTTTCTTTACTAAAGAACCCTTAAAGGACCATCGTTTTTAAGAGTGTAGTCACAGTTCTTGATGACTGTTACCAACAAAAAAAGCATTATTTCGTGGCATAATTCATTCAACTATTGGTAAAGTACAACATTTCTTTCAATCCTGGCACTTGACTCTGTGATGGCTTGGATCATTTCTCACATCTGGTGATCTCTGTATTGTTTTTTGTGCATGTGCATGAGACTACATGCCTTATATTATATATACCTGCAAAACTCTGGAAAAATTAATTTCAACGGGTAAACCATGTGACACCTGTGAATTTTCTACATATGAAATATCGACCATTTTATTATGGGAAAAGTTAACGTGATGTTAAGGTAATTTGTTATGCAAATACTGGCTTGCATCGCGTTATCCTCGGTCATGCATATGCTAAGCATCTGTGCTACCTGATGTTACAGACGGAAGCCCCACCACCCCATCATTGGGTCACACACAGAAGAATCATGTGGGTTCTGGAGAAGATTCGGAGCTCAGTGGAGACCAACGTGCCTCGTCAAGGGGAGGCAGGCGACAAACAGGACAAAGCCCCCATCTACAGCAACGTCCTCACCCCTGACAAAATCCCTGACTTTTTTATCCCTCCTAAGCTGGTAAGCTGCCCACCAGAGGCTGAGACACCGGACGTCAAGCCCAAGGAAGGTCTGCGGCCCTCTACCTCGGAGCAGACCATTGGCAACAAGATCCTCAGCAGCCCTCGGAGTCCCCGCCTGGTCAGCAAGCTGGCTGGAGACACAAAGAACCTTCTGAAGGCCGCCAACCGTCACATCATTCAGATTGAAAGCGCAGATGACGTTGTCGCCGGCGATACCAATGCCGATCCTCAGTCCCAGACGGCCATGTCTCTACCATATATCCCAAAGACTCAGACATCCTATGGGTTCGCCACACTAATGGAGAGTCCCCACACTCGCCGGAAAGAATCCCTGTTCCACTGCGACCACACAAGTCCCGTGACTTCTCCGAACACCCAGCGCAGATCCCAGAGCAAGAGCAGCACGGACAACAGCCATCTGAACCCTGTGGATTTCAACACGTCTCACATCAGCCCATATCGCTACTTTAGCGGGGGCGAGAGTGACACTTGTTCCTCAGCGGAATCGTCCCCATTCAGCTCCCCACTGCTGTCCCGTTCTGCTTCCCTGCTCAAGATCTTCACCCATGAGACCCAGGCCAAGGTGGTCAAAGCCAAGAGGACGTTTGCCCGGCACAGTTCGCTCTCCACAGATGAGTGCAGTTCGGCAGAGCCCAGCCCCAGTGTGCCCAGAAGAATCCACTGCCCCTCAGGAGGTGGTCCTCTGGACCATCATGGAAGGGACAGGCAGCAAAGGGAGCACATGGTCAACCTCCACAAGGGTGGCACAATCCGGCTCTGCGCAGACTATGACGCGGGCACTGCCCGCCTGCGGATACGCATCGTAGCGGCCGAGGACCTCTACGACCAGATGTTCGACATCAAGAGCATCAACTGTTGCGTATCGCTCTACCTCAACCCAGGCAAGCTGCAGAAGCAGCGGAGCACCATCATCAAGAACAGCCGCAATCCTGTCTTCAACGAGGACTTCTTCTTTGACTCGGTTAGCTCGGCGCAGGTGAAGAACCTTGCTCTGAAGATCAAAGTGGTGAATAAAGGCACTAGTCTGAAAAGGGACAGCTTGCTGGGAGAGAGAGAGGTCCCTCTGGGGAAGCTGCTGCCTGGTCTTTAAAGCTCTACACAGGGACTTATGAGGGCTTAGTGTCTTCAAAAGGGAGCTAGTGGACCCTGGAGTAAATAGCTAAACCTGTTTTCATGTAGCATCATCCACTACTTGACTGGGCAGACTCACTTATGACTACATCTACCATAAAACTCTAGAGCTTGGTACTCATAGCAAGTAAATGTGTATATTTGTGTTGACATAAAGATAAAATTCTATTGCATCTTTACATTTGTTGTATATATTTATGTATATTTTGTTGTTTGATGCTTGTTGTGTTAACTGATGCAGACAGAACATTTGTCTTTTCATAGCAAAAACTTTTTTTTTTCCTCCTGGTCCTTTGAACTCACACAATGACCCAGTGTGCAAATGTTAGCTTTGATCCTGGATGCATCTGCCAACTCATTTGGAGGATGAATAACTAACATTGGAGGATGTTGCATCACTGTGTCTTACCAGATGTTGGTGCACATATGGAAATGTGATGGCGTGTGCTCACCCTCGTGAATAGTTTTTGTGAGACCCAGAAGCCTTACTGAAGACAGCGAGAGGAGGTTTGCCTGTCGTGGTCAGCTCAGACTGGACTGCATAAGCTGAGCGTCTCTCTGTTGTTAATCTGTTCTGACTGGATGTCATCTTCGATGAATATATTTATTACTCGTTTGTTACATGTACAGAAGAGCGTCACAGACTCTCAATCTTTTATGGACTCTTTATCCTACAAATAATCAGTTTAATTTATAAAATGTTTCCTTGGGCACTGAATGAAAGACAAGTGAAATGGTGGGGGAACTCGATTTAGTCCAGCCATTTAAGCACTATTATATATTATCTGATGGATAGAAATTTCAGAATGAAATTTAATGATTTGTTTTTTGATTTTAGTCTCAAACAACCAAATTCTCAGGAAATATAGTGCAGTGCAAAAGTCAGAGACCACGCTTTCGTTCATTTAATTTTTTATATATATATATATATATAGATATATATATATATATATATATATATATATCAATTCATATCAAATCAATCAGTATTAAATTTGTCCACTTTTTACTTTTGTCAAAATTAGATTTAAGGTAATCCACACAGTGAAAGGTGGAAGACAAAGGAAAATAAGTGAAAAGAAACAGACTTTTACAAAGACAACTCAGTGCTATGTGTGAAAGGGTGTGTAGCTGTCAAGAAGCTGTGACTGAGAAAAGGAAACAGACAAAAAAGAAGACAGTTTGCTTTTAAGCATCGAAACTGGACATCTGAGAAGTGGAGGTTTTATGGACGGAAGAGTAAATTAGTAATTGGGATTATTTGAATTGTTAGAAGCAGAAAATGTAAAACCAACTTCTAAGACTGAACTTAGAAGGAAAAATATCCCTGCAGATTCCTTTCAAAAACTGAAAGGAATTCTGAGAAAAGAAAGAATGAAAGGCAAAGAGTGGAGACACTAAATACTGAAAGATTTGATATTATATCTAGTTATTATGGCTTGATGTGTTTTTCATGATGCTGAAAAATGAATATCTTGTACTTAAAGGCTGTTTTGACTGCAGGTTTAATAAATGAAGGGTGGTCTCTGACTTTCAAAATATTGTATAAAAATGTAGATTTAAGTGTTATTGCAGTTGGTCCTGTGCACATAGTTTTGTTTAGTAGTGAAAAATGGACTGTTTCGTTCATCACATGGTCTGATATAACTAACCTTCATCTTCAACAAAAACAGAAAGTTAATGAGAGCAATATTGCAGCATAAGTTTTTTGCTAATGCAAATTTCAAATGCAGTACTTCAGTCTGAATCTTGTGCTTTTACTTAATGCATTCTGAATGTTTAAATATTACAATATCTGTAGAAAAAGTGACTCTAGCTCGCCGTTTGATGTAATAAATGTAGATATATCAGTGGTAAGAGTGGTGGACCTCATTAAAATCTCCCTGCAGAAAAGACAGAGTGACCTTGCCTATGATCAGTCCAGCAGAGAGTGCAAATGATCCCTTGTTATTAAGTCCTGAAATGCTGCTTAATTAAACAAGAGGTAAAAGGTTTTGGCTGGTAGAGCTTTTTTTTTCTTTTTTATTAATGAAACCTGCTCCAGAGCTATTAAGGCTAAAAAGAGTGCCGACGTTTCCTTTAATGTTTTTCTCAGAAATGATTTTCTCTTATGGAGCCGCTGTGGCTCAAGTCTTCCTGTTTTTAACAGGTTTTCGAAGTGCCGATCCAACATACTTGATGTAGAAATGGTTTTATTCACATGATGTTTGTTGCAATTTGTAAACGCTGGACTTCTATCTTCGCTGGTGTTTGTACTTCATGTGAATGGATACTATTTTTATCGTGATGACCCTGTATTTGAAGCTGTGAAACGTTGAATGGGGAAGTAGGTGTGCTTTGTATGTGGCATGCTCTCCACACTTCTGCATGAATACATACGATGTATTTGCTGATGTTAAAGGAAAACTGCAGGTCGTGCTAAGCGGTTTATCCTAAGCGCTTTTGTTAATGTACGAAAAATAAAGATCTGTGGAATATATTAAAGGTCTCTGGGTACCTTGTAACATTCCATATGGGTTATTTTGACTCTTGTATTTCTCCAGGGCAAAGCTCAGTGGACATGAGACATCTTACTGGTAGTGTAAGATTCATAAGATTACATGACACCTACATAAGCTCATCTTGACTACGGACATAAACCTATGTAAACATTTATAAAGGCTTATTCCGATAGGCGCAATCTGAGGGAAAGGCTGCTTCTGTCAACTTTGGTGTCAATTTCACATGATGCTTATGTCAGGATCCATCATTGTTTTTTGACAGTGGACACCTAACTATTCAGCAGGGTTGGAATAGCTACTGAAATATTAGTAGTTAGCTACTTTGTAACTACCTTCCCAAAAATTTGTAGCTAGCTACAATTTAGCTACATTTCCAGAAATAGTAGTGGCTACTTTTTAGCTACTTTTTGAAAGTAGTGGCTACTTTTTAGATACCTTCAAAGCGCGATTGTCAGAATGTTTGTGAATCTCCACCTGATACACCAAACAAGCCCAACTGTGAACAAGACACTGCATTTAATTATGTGCCAGAAAGAAACATGCAATTAAAAAGCTGCAAATATACAAAAAGATCACCAAAAAGTGAGTTTGAATGTAACCAACAATCAAACTTACACAACCAAAGGTGTGATATCCAAGAAGAAGTTAGACTAAATAAAAGGAAAAGTCAATCCTTCCAGGTTTTTCCTAACAAAAAACAACCGAAAAAAAAACTGTATAAAAACCAAACAGTTTAATGCAAAGCATTGTCAACTGTTGAAATAAAACTGCTCCAATTTGAACATTTCAGCAACATATACAGACACGACATTCAGAGTCCTTTAAACTTCAGCAACAATTTAGCCTCAAAATTCTCATCAGTGACTCTGGCTCATTTTGGGATGAGAATCAGGCCTGAATAATCTCTCCACTGTAAAATCGTTATAACACACAGTTCTAACACAGTTTTCACAATAAATGGTCTTAAACGCTGGAGTTAACGCATAACTACTAATTCACCAACCTTTAACGCTGCTGGACACAGCAACAGAGATAACAGTCTCGCCTAGAAGCTAATGAAATGGTAAAGAGAGAGATTTAAGACAAACATTAATAACTTGGAGACGAACGGACTTATCTGCATTCATAATCACTCCAGCTGGTCTCCTGCCACGTTTAATCTGCAACAAGAAACTGTCAAACACTAAGTCGCAAGGCTGCAGCTTCTCTTTCGCCAGCTTCTCTTTCGAATTTTCCCGCTCCACCTTAAATGACGCAGCATTTAAATTTTGGTGCGTCTGCACCATTTAAGGTGGAACGGGAGAATTCAAATGAGGAGCTGGAGAATGAGAAGCGACTTCAGCCTCGTAAAAAGTTGAACGTTGGGAGACATTTTACAAAAATCTCTTTTGTGGAAAAGTTTCCTGTGAGGTGCGAGAAAAGCGACTACAGCTGAGCTAAGGCTTAAAGTAGAGCACAGTATCCGTTTATATTAAATTTGTCAGCCTACATTAAGACATCAGCATATACTGAGACATATTTACAGCCAAGATGGTAAAATGGACATAAAATGTTGTGGCTCCCAAGGTGGTTTCATCAAAGGACAAAATGGCTCTTGTTAACATTTCGGTTGCTGACCCCTGAGCTAACCCTACTAGTAAGGGGGCTCAGCGTGTGACCGTTTGCTGGAACTGTCCGCGGCTAAGTCAGGATTGCACAATCACCACCAGCCCAGTTAACGACCGCGTTCTGTGGTTCAGACTTTGCGCGCTTTGCCTGAAGCCTGTAGCGAAATTGTAGCAAAAATAATTGCTGTAGCTACATAAAAATTTGTAGGTGCTACAGCTATTAGCTACATTTAATAAAACTATAGCGGCTACAGCTATTAGCTACAAAAATATGTAGTTAACTACAAAAAGTAGCGCGCTACTTAGCCACTCCCCCATCCTTGCTATTCAGTTCAGGTGTTTCAACCACATCCATTGCTTACAAGTGCATAAATCAAGTACATAGCCATTCAGCCTCCATAGATAAACATTGGCAGTAGAATGGGTCATACTGAAAAGCTCAATGGCTTTAAATGTGGCACTGTCATAGGATGCCACCTTTACCACAAGTCAGTTCATGAAGTTTCTGCCCTTAATTTGTCTTGATAAAATAAACAAAATTAAAGCATGAGGAGTCCAAGTCAGTAAAAAGTGAGTTTTGAACTCTGACTTTGAACCAGTTTGGTAGAATGATCCATATATGGTAGCGTGTTCTTCTGAGTGAGGTTTTTTCAGTGCCTTTTATGTTGCTGTATGAAAGGCATGGGTGCAGTAATCACGTCTGTAGTCACACGAGGAAAACTTGCTGAAAATGTCTGGTACTTGCCTGTGAGGGAGACAATCAAAAGTGGCCAAGGAAGTCTGAGGTGTCGCTAGCAGGTAAACTGATTAAGCTACAGGATCATCTGTCACTGCCTCCTGCTGCCTGCCCCCTATAGCTCATTAGGACACAGAGAGAGAGAGAGAGAGAGAGAGAGAGAGAGATGGGGTTATATGGAGCCAAAGGGTTGACGAAAGGCCAAGTGAGGTAAGTGAAAGTGTGGACAGCTCATTTGGAAGAACAGGTGTGCCATCTTTGTCTCTCTCTATCTCTCTCTCTTTTCTCT